TATTAAATTCATTGGCGGAAGAAAAGCTTATAGTTGTGATGTTATATACTATTCAGTTTAGAGTTGTTTTTTAAGACAGATAAATATATGGTGCGCGATTTACTTGAACTGAAAATTAAAATATTCACATATAAATATTATTAAAATATTAATATCCGTTTTGATCTTGTTAATGTTTCTTCATTTTAAACATTCCATGATTCGATTTATGATTACATATATAATCATATGTTATGTGTCTTAAATTTTGTTACGACATTTCCATTTAAAATTTAATTTTACATGTATTATATCATCATACAAAGTTACTGTTTTTCTATAGGTTCGTGGTGATCTAAGCACATTCTGTTGGGTACAAAACAATCGATGCGTCGAATATCGACATGAAGATTTAGTACATGTGGTTTATTCATCACTCAATTTCAAAGATGTAATGATTGCAACTGGCAAATTGGTATTTAATCAAACGATTTCACAATATCGGTTGTTTCAAGACATGCCCTTAGGACTGGAATACGTAGGATTCGATGCCAACGGGCAACGAGTAATGGGACTTCGTGACACTGAGTATAAATAATATTCCAAAAAATAATATTAATGTTGCGTAATATCATAAAATTTAAATTAAATTTAAATTTAAATTATTTCTTTTAGTTGTATAGCAAATGTTGTTGTAAAAGATAAAGACTTCTTTTGGAAAATACCCGATACTTGGACATTCGAAGAGGCAGCGACGATCCCATGTGCTTACAGCACAGTTTATTTAGCTCTATACATTTATGGGAAAATGAAGAAAGGCGATAAAATACTTATACATTCCGGTACTGGCGGTATCGGACAAGCAGCTATTCATCTCGCTCTCAAAGAAGGATGCGAAGTGTTCACTACAGTGGGCACAAGTGACAAACAAAACTTTATTAAGCAAACGTTTCCGACTATTTTGGATGAACATATTGGAAATTCTCGAGATACGAGTTTTGAACAAATGATAATGCAGCAAACGAAAGGTCGCGGCGTTGACATAGTTTTAAATTCATTGGCGGAAGAAAAATTACTCGCGTCTGTTCGTTGTTTGGCACAAAATGGTCATTTTTTGGAGATCGGTAAATTTGATCTTGTTTCTAATAATCCTTTAGATATGTTCGCATTTCAGAAGGGTATTACCTTTCATGGAATTCATCTTGATAATATGGTCATCGGTGATCACAAGTATAGGCCTCTATTGTCAAAAATGCTATCCGATGGTCTTAATAATGGAACTGTCAAACCACTTAAAGTGAAAATTTTTCCAAAAACAGATATCGAAGAAGCTTTTAGATATATGGCAAGTGGAAAACATATGGGAAAGGTATGTTGTAACTGATTGTAGCAGAAAAAGTTATTATAAGTCATCAATTAATAAGTCTGTTTCACATGTTTATTTTTAATATATAATTATTTCAGATAATTATAAGTATTCAGGAACAAGATAAACCTTTAAACAATTACATTTTCGCATATCCTCGCTATTATTGTCTCAAAGATCGGAAGAGCACACGTCTGAACTCCAGTCACTTAGGCATC